GTTCATCGCAAGTGCGGACAGTTCCTTTTGCATTAAGTCCTTCCATTGTATTCGTGGGAGTCGAAGGATATTTTCACCGGAGCGCCACCTTACTATGTCCATGTCGTTAAAAAGCTCGTACAGCTCGGCATTCCATTTTCTTCGGCACTCGTCACCCACGCAAACAGGGCTTACAGATCTTGCGTACAATAATTCCCTCAAAAGCCACCAAAGCCTTCTCATATTTGCTTGACATCGTCCATTTTTCTGCACCATACAAAAGAATTGGCCGAATTAGAGACTTATAGATTGTAATTTTTACTCGTCGAGAGGGGACTCTGCTTTTCACTTGCCTACCGAGCACAAAGTAGCACCTGTTGGCAAAAGTTATTCTTCGCTTTATCTCCAGACAGACATTATTGGTGGTGTTTATACTAGATGCTGTGACGTGTGTCCCAATTCGCGACGGCTTTTTATGTTTAAGAATCTTTATGTATTTATATCCGGTGGTGGACTGTCTTTCCGGCAATATTACGCAAATATTTATGAGGTTATTTTACATCACAACAACAATAAGAATGTGTCTAGCAAACGAAGCCATTGACATAAGGCCTGCATTGGAAGTCAGCCGTCTTTGTTTACGGAATTTCCGGTGCTCCTGCTTCTCATAAAATTTCCCTGTTGGCGTTCAAATTCAAAAGCATACGAAATTCGCCCAAAAAAATTATATTTCACCGCAATCGGTGCATTAAGCGACATACATACATATGTACATACATGTGTACATATGTACATATGTATATGGGTCTACGTGGTCAGTTGCACCTCTTTGAAACACAAAAAAGGATATTTATAGGCCGAACGAAAATAACTTGAAAAAAAAATTTACATAAATCAAAAAACAATTAAAAAAACAAAAATAATGTACGGGCTATAAAAAGAGCTTTGTGTATCTGAATGTCATTTATTTATGTAAAATCGAATTCTTTTGACCAATAGTAGGATTAAACGCTTAAGCGTGGTCCCATAAACATGTTTGTGTAGTTGTTTAAAAGTTTGTTAAAAGAATACGTGGAATTCGAATTGCTTGAGAGCGTTCTTTGTAAACAGGTTCGACTTGTCGACAGCAGTGGGCCTACATACTGCTCAAGAGCCGCCAGGGCACGAGACTTGTGCTCAGAAGGCAGATAAGCCAATGGCAACGTGTGAGCCTTGAGTGTGTGCATTTGAATGCTTGCCAGTGTGGTAAGTTGAGTCTGTAGGCAGACGATAGTGCAATTAGAAAGAGGCACAACTCACAATTTGGCATTTTTGAAATTATGTGCTAGAAATGTACACAGAGCTTTTATTTACCCTTGCCCATATGATTATTATGTGCTAAGAAATAGTTTTTACGCTTTTTCTGACAAACGTGTAAGTTGTGAGTTGTGCCCCTTTTGAAGACTGCGTGCGATATGTATGCACATATTTGCATACTCGCATGCAGTTTCTTGTCAAGGTAAGTTACACACACACACAGTAACCTACGGCCTTCCACCGAATGCACCGGTTTGTTGCACTCACTTTTCAATGCAAACTACAGCATAAAACACACAAGCAACACGTGAATGGCAAAAAATTTTTCAATCAATTTACATACATACATACATATATTTTTAACACCGAAATTTCAATTTCAATTAGCAAGAAATCGAAGTATTTGTCTATGTAATTATTTGGTGTTGAGCGCCAGCTGCCAGAGTTGAGAAGTAAACAAACACAGAAGCACCGCCCAATATGCAACAATGAAGTGCAATTTAATAAACTTTTTTACTTGTAGATAAATATTAAATAGTTGCTGGCAAGGTGGCAAAATTTAATTTCTTGTTGACTTCATTTGTTAATTAAATTAGTAAAAAATATACAAACATACAAAGCTAATTAGTAATACCGTCATGCAAATGTATTTATCATATATCACATATGTGTATGTGTGTGTGTGTGTGTGTGTGTGTGTATGTGGCAAAATGCGCTATTTACGAGCAACCAAATGGGGAAATTGTCTTCTTATGTGCGATTTTTTAATGGTTTTTGACGCAAATAAAAACATTCTTTGGCAAGTACGTAGGTTAGAGCACTTAAACCTGCCAAAAACTGCCCGCACAAATAACAAACGATGATTGCAATGATTCGCCAAATGGGCCGAATGCCAATTAAATTAGAAGAAAAACAGAATAGTTGCGAAAATACATGCATATCGATGTTGCAATGAAGTTTAAGTAAATTAAAATAAATTACATCCGTACTAAATATTATTGACGCAAGGCGTAATGGCATGCATTTACATTTGAAAATAGCTGAATGTTGCATGTTCCACTGTGCATGCGCCACTTAAGTGCACGAAAAATGAGATTTGCAAATTATAGGCATCGAACGGAACACGAAATGACTAAAAAGTACGTTGGATTATTTAATAATTAGTCACATTAAAGGGCATAGAATAAAATAAAAACACGCCCACGTAATGCATTTTGAAAAAAAATTACATAAATTTTTATGTATTTAATGAAGGCATTAGAAAGTTCTACGGCGAGGAGTCACATCTACAAAATTAACATAGAAATCACTCTGAAAGACATGAGTGTCAAAACAGAGCAAAGGAGAGGGGGACATACTATACCTACTGTGCAGATCTTTTTTTTTTTTTATAAAAACTACACATACACATTTGGTTACCCAGTGAATAAATATAGTAGGAACCCATATTTAGTAGGTTCAGTTAAAAAATCATTCAAAAGGTTTAAGGGAAATAAGTTTCTTTGCTCTTTTGAGAAATTTTCGTACTTTTATATACGTGGTTTTTTTATAAAAACATTGTTCGTGCTATAAGTAGAACCCGCATATACATTAGGGTGGTCCAAAAAAGTCGGAATTTTAATGCTCTCGCTCCCTACGATTGTTCTATACCGAAAAAATATACCTCTCAAAGTTTTCCATGTATTTTAAATGGTGTCCCAAAAAATAACTTTTTGAAACTCAGAATACGGATAACACCATTATAAATTATTTAAACGTATTCCGAAATAATAAAATATTTTGATTAATTAAAAATACATTTTCTTTTTTGGTAGAACCTGAGAGATTACTATATTTTCTACTTAAATTTAAGAAGCTTGGACGATTTTTGAATTATAAACTAATTATCTGCTCTTACAAGGGGCGCTACGAAAAATCTCGCCTAGAAGGCTCAACTTATCTGAAAGCATTGATACAAAGGTAGCGCATATATGGTATATGTATGTATGTATGTCTGAGGTGCAAATTAAATTCATTTACATAATCGTTCCCATAAAAATTCTGTGTAATATTAGCTGGATGTGCTTGCAGAAATACATACATATGTATGTACGAAAGTATTGAACAAGTCCTTAGCTCTCCCCGACTATTCGGTATAAAATTATCATTAAGTTACACACGTGCCTCATAATCCGCAAAAAACAACAAATACGCCTTAAAAAAAACACACTTTATTTAAATGAGGAAGAGGTAGCGTAAAAAATTGAAAAAAAGTGGTATTCATAACCATTGGGAAATCGATCGAATACATATCGAATTCAATAATACCCTTAGAAGCAAAAGTTTATAAACTGTTGCACTTTAAGCTACATGCGAATTTAACTCTTTCTGCGCCCAAAAGGCAACGCTCTAATGCCCGCACACACCTACATACAATAAATGCTAGCATAAATAGAATTTTCCTTTTGAAGTTCTCTGCTGCAGCAAGCGAATCAACAATGACCTGACCTACACTCATGTCAACTTAGTCGATAAAAGCATGCAGCGGCGTCAGAGGGAAGTGGAAAAGCGGTGGGACAACAAAAACGGACGGCTAAATTTGGAAAAATTAGGAAACTTTTGTACTATCGCTTGTAGGAATCAGCAGGTGCGCTTCACTTGACACGTCGCTAGGATGAGTGGAGTGTACGTGCGCCACAACACGCCAACACCGCAACAACACCCCCGCGTGTATTCCACTGGAAATGGGGCTCGTTTTTCCAATGTACTACAACTCAAACTAGACACACATATGTATGTATGTACATATATGCTTTAATGTACATACATACGTACATATGTATTTAATCTCCAGTTGTATGTGATTTGTTGGTCGGATGCCATGCGTTTTGTGAGAATTGAAGAGCCGCACGAGCGTAAGACTCTTCGGAGAGACCCAATGGGATGCGTAAAAATTGTGGGGGTATTTTTTTTTAGTGGGTGGATGTCTGAGTAAATTTTCCAGCGTCTCAAGGACACTAAATGACATTTGGTCAGCTGATAGTAACGGTGGCGGATTTATTGTAAAATTTCTTAAATGAAATTTTTAATTTTCCTAAAGGCTTGCTGAGTAAATTAAAATCCCGACTTTGCACATCGATGATGCGGGTTCGATCCCTGCTGAAGTATAGAAAAAGAAGTCCGAAATAGCAGCTATAACTTCTATCGCTAAGACATTGTTGTTTTTTCCATTTTTCCTAATAAACATATTCGTAGTAAATACAAAGCTGAATAACAATATTAAAATAAAGTCCAAAGATTTGAAGGCCGTCTAACGGCACAGCCTACTTTGAAGGCTTCTAGAGTCCTATTAGGGCGGCCAAACTCAAGAGAGAACTGAAAAATTTGAGAAGATTACAGTCTATTTTAGCCGCCCGTCGCTGTTTGCCACTCTTCAGCTTGTCTATGGAATAATTTTGTACACATTTATTTACAAAGAAACATTTCCACTTACACAGAGAGCCAAATGAGAGTAAGAAAGCTGTCTATGGTATATAAATGTTGCTGCATCGATGGCGTGAGAATGCTCGCACGCGACCAAGACGATGAGGAAAAAAAAAACAACTTTCACTTCAAATACAGAATCAAAACAGAAAAACCATAAATGTTATTCACCTCCGGCAATGTGAATGGGAAGCATGCGAGGCAAATTGTGACTTCTTTTTGTTATTCATGTTTTCTCTTTTGATATGAGTGTTGCACTTCGGTTGGGTGCTACAGTGTAAATCCACATCCACTTTAGAGATTTCTTAAATTGTTTTAATTATAATTTATAGTGCTTGTTGTATAGCTACCTATAATTAGCTTTTCTCTGCTTTACAAGTATACTTTAGTTCCACATGCTCCAAATAATCATCAATAACAACTGGAACCGCCACCGTTCCGTAACTGACTGTGGCGTCAAGACACGCAATCTTTAATAATTTATTGAAGGAAAAACAAAGAATTCGTATACGATGTGGACAAATGTCAAGTTGCCAAGCGGTGGGTCAAGGCAACGCCCTACCGAAATGCTGATCAAAGTTTTTGAAAATTTCAAAAGGACACGAATTATTTAAATCAGTAGCTGAGTTGAGCTGTAGCGCTGCGGTCATTCGTGAAAAAGTAAAAGAAATAGTTAGCTAAATATCATCATGGCCGAGGAACTAATGCTAAGTTCGTCTTCAAAGCACAAGTCTAAAACGCTGTGCTTTTACGGCGCCTGGGCCTGGATCGTAGACATTTTTCTCACCGTTTTCCTCATCGTTTTCATACTCTACATTCTGCGCAAAATCATACAAGGTCCATTCTACCGTAAGCGTAATCGCATCGATGAAAAAGTCGTCATTATCACCGGCTGCAGCGCGGGCATTGGCAAGGAGATCGCCCTGGAGTTGGCGCGGCGCGGTGCACGCATTTACATGGCTTGCCGCGATGCTGCGCGCTGTGAGGCCACGCGCCTCGAGATCATAGATGACACGGGCAACCAGCAAGTCTACAACCGCACACTCGACCTCGGTTCGCTGGAGTCCGTGCGTCAATTCGCTGCACGTTTTGTTGCGGAGGAGCAGCGCCTGGATATTTTGGTAAATAATGCCGATGTTATGACTACTCAACGTACCCTAACAGCCGACGGGTTTGAGTACCAATTCGGTGTAAACCATTTGGGGCATTTTCTACTAACCAATCTACTGCTGGAGCGGCTGAAGGTAGCCGCACCGAGCCGCGTAGTCGTAATGAGCTCCTTCATGCATCTCTTTGGGCGTATAAACAAGGACGATCTGAACAGTGAGCTGCGCAAAACGAAAATTTTCGGCTCTTACGCTAACAGTAAATTGGCGAATATACTCTTTGCGCGCAAGCTGGCTAAATTGCTGGATGGTACGAGCGTAACGGTAAATAGCTGTAACCCTGGAATCGTGCGTACCGAGGCGATGTTTCGCAAGCAAAATCCGCCGTGGCTGTGGTTCATTGTCGACAAACTTTTCGGGCTGGTGGCTCGTACTCCGCTAGCAGGTGCACAGACTGCGCTGCGCCTGGCATTGGATCCCGACTTGGAACGATCGACAGGGGGCTACTACTCTTACTACATACGCTGGCCGCTGCCACCGTGGGCCACGAACAAAAAGATGACCGATTGGCTGTGGCGCGAAAGTGAGAAACTGGTCGGAATAAGCAGTGGCGAACGAATTCAAACGATCGATGTGTAATGAATAGTGTATTGCGGATGGAAAGGGCAGAGTAGCGAAACAATTTTCTTAATATAGTTAAAATTTGCATTAAATTAATTTATCTGATTCCGCAGTATAACTGTTTTGTTTATCATTCGTCGTAATAGCTCTTCCGTTGAATGCTCACTGTAGCGTACCTCGTAGCCCAAATTTAAGTGCTAATTACACACACGCCGCGAGAAACATGACAAAAGTAAACTTCTGCTGTGCTGTAATTTAGACACGCTGCTTTGTGAGTGTATCACAATGTAAAATCTGCAGCTCTGAGTGGCTTTCAAAGTCGCACAATGCACAGAAAAACTGGTATTTCATGCACCTGTCTTTGTTTGTATCTCATTCCATCTCAATACGACTGCGGAATTAGTGTTTGCCGGTCGATGGAAGTCGTAGGCAGTGTATTAGCCTGTGGATTATTTAAAGAAAGCCACGAAATTACTACGTAGTGGAGCGAAATTCGAAAGTAACCATTAAATTTCGAACTCACTCGCGCAGAGTGGTGCAGTGACGACTATGAAAATCGGTCGTTGGCAGTTAGTTTGCCGCAGTGGTGCCTAAAAGAAAGTTGCTTTGTGAGTATACAGCGCAGGGGCGCAATATCTCACTCAAGCATTTACTAGTAGATACTTTTCCATACACACAGACAGACACCCACAGTGTACGAATATGTTCGATGACGTTCTGAGTCCTCTGGAAGACGAGGAAAAATCATTGTGCTTCCGCGGTCCCTGGGCCTGGCTAGTGCTCATCACCGTCTGTTGTATCGGCATCGCTTTGGTCATGTGGCTACTGCGCAAATGCGTGCAAGGCCCCTTCTATCGCAAGAAGACTCGCATCGATGGTAAAGTGGTAATCGTGACGGGCTGCAACACGGGCATTGGCAAGGAGACCGCCATGGAGCTGGCGCGACGTGGTGGCCGCATTTACATGGCCTGCCGCGATGCAGCGCGTTGTGAGTCAGCGCGCATGGAGATCATTGAACGCACGCACAATCAAAATGTCTTCAATCGCACGCTCGACTTGGCCTCATTGTCGTCGGTGCGACAGTTTGCCGAGCGTTTCTTGGCAGAGGAACAGCGTTTGGATATTCTGATAAACAACGCTGGCATCATGGCCACACCGCGCAAGCTCACCGTCGACGGCTTCGAACAGCAGTTGGGTGTCAACCATTTGGGGCACTTTTTGTTGACAAACCTGTTGTTAGAACGCCTAAAGTCGACTGCGCCCAGTCGCATTGTGGTAGTGACTTCGGCGGCATACATCTTCGGGCGCATCAACAAGGAGGACTTGAACAGTGAGAAGCACTATTCGAAATTCTTGGGCGCCTATTGCCAAAGCAAGCTGGCTAACATCTTATTCACGCGCAAACTGGCCGAGTTGCTTAAGAATACCGGCGTGACCGCCAATTGCGTGCACCCAGGAATTGTGCATACTGAATTAGGCCGTTACAGTGTGGCGGAGTATTGGTACAAATCGATTTGGCTCCGCATGTTCAGTTGCTTTGTAAAGACGCCGCAGGCAGGGGCGCAGACCACGTTGCGAGTGGCATTGGATCCGGCGCTGGAGAAGTGCTCTGGCGACTATTATGCGGACTCGATGCGACTTCCCTTGCTGCCGAGGGCCAAGGACAAGGAAATGGCCGAATGGTTGTGGAAGGAGAGTGAAAAGCTGGTGGGCTTGCAAGGTGGAAACGCGGTGCAAACAATTGTCGTGAATCAATGAAGTAGGTACTAAAGCAAAGGAATGGTCGAAAGCGAGAAAAAGAGAGAGAGGGAAGTAAGGCGAGCTACAGGAAAGGAGATTATACGTAGTAACGATGTGTCGGTATATTTTCCGGTTATTTTTAGGTAAATTTTAAGTTCCTGTATACATATGTATACATATTAGAGGGCTGCATGAATTCATTCAAAAGGGCTTATGAATTATTCATATACAAAACGAATTAATGATTTTGGCTTAAAATTTTTTTGAAATTGAGTGAATACCTGTTCGGATATATGTGTCGACATTACAATATTCAAACAAAGTGAAAATAGATTGAATTGAAACAAATGACAATTTTTTGCATGAATATCCAAAAATATTTTTTCTATGCACATATGTTAAAATTTATATATGTATGTGTGTATGTATTGCTCGCACCTTTTAAAATACGAACAAACTTGTTTGCAGAAAAAAACTTTTACCGAAATGAGTTTGAATAATTTGAATGTTTTTCATTCATTCATTCACATTCTTCCATTTGAAGGTAGAAAATTTAAAACAAAATGTTTATTCATGACTTGCAAAATTACAAACGCTGAGTGTTTTGTATGTGAATTGAAATACTCAAATTTACTGTACTCTGTTTGGCTAGAAGTTTGAATGAATTCATGCAGCCCTCTAATACATATGTATGTATGTAAATATGTACGTATAAGTAAAGAATAAATAAATAAAAAGTGTATCCCGAAAAAGCGTTTCTTTCTTTTTCTATATTTCATCTATTATTTAAGCTATCTGGAAATTTTGGAATAAACTCGTAAAATTTACGCCTTTTTCTCTGTGAAAGGCATTTGAAATTTTTCGCTTTGAAGCTTTCCGCTTATCTATCATTTTTCTAAGTCATCGTTTCGACATTGAACTCATTTCGCAATTTGCTGCTTATCAGCGAGTCGCAAGCGCCATGCCCATCTGTAGGGTGCAATCTTTTGAGAACTGGCCAAGTTTGGTTCCAGCAGCGGTAATTGCAATGTTTGTATTCAACGCTGACCGCAGTAGTGCTCGTATTTGCTGTTCATAGCCGTGCAATCCACACTTGAACATTGTTCGAATGCGGCTTGGAAGTTCATGGAGAACCGGTTGCCAGTTGCGGACTTACGATGGCATTGACGATAAATTGCAAGTAGGTATGCGAGATGCCAACACTAACACACTTGACATGACAGGAATACTAAATAGACGTGTCGGAGGCTATTTTGCAAGTAAAAACGCATAAAACGACTATTAAAACTTGGCCAGACTCACTCACGTTTACAGCTTTAAACCGGCTTAGGCATTGGATGGAGTACTTTATGAGATTTTTATGTCTTCCAAGTTGAATTTTTTTCAGACACAGAGGGGAAACAGCATTGCTGTGCGAGCTTATTCCCGAAAACAAAAAACTCGCTTAGTTTGCTTTTGAGCGCTTTTACCTGGAACTAGTAACTACAAACCAGTTTGGAAACGTGTGCCTTCTGCGCTGCGCTGCGCTGCTTTTGACGCTACACTTAGCCGCCACTGCAGCGGAAGCCAACTATAATTTAAAAAAGAAATGCGCCAGAAAAATTTGGGCTAACGCTTGCCTTTAATACCTCTGTACTATGGCCTCTGTATATAGGGCTGCCGCCACTTTCACCACTGCCAAAAAAGCACCAGCACAATGTGAGTTTGCAGCGGCTGAACGCCGCGCGGAGATCATGTTGACTTGCCAGGTTAGCGATTATCAGCGAACGAGGAAAGCGCGCTTCGGCGCCAGTTGGAATGGATTGTAAGTTGGAAGTCAGTTGAAGCTTGCCACTGACAGCGCAAAGTACGCGTGTTGATTAAACAAAGTTATTTTATTGTAGTGCGCACTTAGAAAACTTAAAAAGTACACAGTAGTATGCCAGATAGCGAAGAGGAGAAACTGTGTTTCCATGGCGTCTGGGTTTGGCTGCTGCCAGCCATTTTCATTGCCGTCGCCGTGTTGTTTTTCTTGTGGCTGCTGCGCAAGTGCATACAGGGTCCGCGTTATCGCAAGGCGAATCGCATCGATGGCAAGGTAGTCATTGTGACGGGCTGCAATACAGGCATCGGCAAGGCAACTGCTCTGGAGCTGGCGCGGCGAGGCGGTCGCATTTACATGGCCTGCCGCGATGCGGTGCGCTGTGAGGCCGCGCGTCTGGAGATCGTAGAGCGCACGGGAAATCAGCATGTCTACAATCGCACACTGGATCTGGCATCGCTGGATTCGGTGCGTCAATTCGCCGCGCGATTTCTCGCCGAGGAGCAGCGCTTGGACATTTTGGTGAATAACGCTGGCATCATGGCCACGCCGCGCAAGCTCACCGCTGACGGCTACGAACAACAGTTGGGTGTCAACCATCTGGGCCACTTTTTGCTGACAAACCTGCTGCTGGAGCGCTTGAAAGCCTGCGCGCCCAGCCGCATTGTGGTTGTGAGCTCAGCCATGTACATCTTTGGGCGTATCAAACGCAATGACCTGAATAGCGAGCGCAGCTATTCGAGCTTCTTTGGCGCCTATTCACAAAGCAAGCTGGCGAATGTGTTGTTTACGCGCAAGTTGGCTGAGCTGCTGGAAGGCACTGGCGTTACGGTGAATTGTTGTCATCCAGGTGTGGTGCGCACTGAGTTGGTGCGGCACATTAAGTTCCCAGGCTTTGGGTTGTTGCACTATTTGGTGAAGTTCTTGTGGAAGTCGCCGGAGGAAGGCGCACAGACGCAGCTGCGCTTGGCGCTCGATCCGGCGTTGGAGAACTCCACAGGCGGCTATTACAGCGACTCGATGCGTTTTCCGCTGCTGCCGTGGGCGAAGTGTAGCGCAACAGCGGACTGGCTGTGGGAGGAGAGCGAAAAACTGGTGGGACTGAAGGTGGGAGGAAAAAGTAATGAAATGGAATCGGTGACGGTGGCGGTTGCGGTGAATGGCGTGCAGCCTTAATGAGCTTTGGATTTTTTTACTATTTAGAAAGATTGGTGAATCAAAATAAATGCTTTACAAATATTTTCTATAAAAAAGGGAATTGATTGTGAAAAATGTAGCGAGAGGAATGACAGCTGCTGCTCTCTACGCGATACATTTCAATATCTTCTCTTCTTCTCTTGAGTCTGCTTTCATTTTGCTGATTTCGCACAAAAACAGAAAAAAAACTGCGCGGCGTTGGAGCGCACACGCCCCCGCAGCGCGAGCAACAATGGGGCCTAGAGAGCGCACTTTCTACAAATCGGATTTTGCGCTCTGT